CTCTACCACTTGAGCCACAGTGCCACTTCCAGCTTTTTTCTTTTTGCTTATGTGGTGCTGAGGAATCAAACCCAGGGCCTCAGGCATGCAAGGCCAGCGTTCTACCATCGAGCCACCTTCCCAGCCCATGTTGAATTGATTTTTTTTTTGGGGGGGGTCCGGTCGTGGGCCTGAACTCTGGGCCTGGGCACTGTCCCTCAGCTCTTCAGCTCAAAGCTAGTGCTCTACCATTTGAGCCACAGCGCCACTTCCGGCTTTTTTTTTTTTCTGATTATGTGGTGCTGAGGAATTGAACCCAGGGCCTCATGCCTGCAAGGCAAGTACTCTACCACTGAGCCACCTTCCCAGACCTGAATTGATTTTTTAAATTATTATCTTTAAGTGGTTATACAAACAGATTTCAATTCAGCCAGTCAGCTTGAGGCCAGCTCTGCACAGCCCTCCCGTGCACTCTCTGGCTGGCCTGCTGATGCGTGCTGTAGGCCCAGTCCTGGGAGGTCAGGCCACAGCCAGGCTGCAGTGAGCACCCTGGCATTGGACCTGACCGCCCTCCAGGGCCAGGGCCCGCACTGCCGCTGCAGCCCAGGCCGGGCCACTGTTCCTCCTTCAGACAGTGGGCACCCGGCAGATGCTGGCTGCCCCCAGGTCCTGCCTAAAACCCTCTTCAGACCCTCCTACAACCTTCTCATGACATCTTCGGACCTTCTTGGACCTCCTTGGATGCTCCATGGAGCTCCTCAGACCTCCTTGGACCTACTCAGACCTCTTCATGACCTCCTCATGACCTTGACTTCCTCAGGACCTCCTTGGATGCTCCTCATGACCTCTGACCTCCTCATGACCTCACCCTCCTCATACCAACCTCAGATGATCCTCATGACCTCCTTGGACCTCCTCAGACCTCCTCTGATGCTCCTTGGACCTCCTCCTGACCTCCTCACAACCTCCTCATGACCTTGACTTCCTCACGACCTCCTTGGATGCTCCTCATGACCTCCGACCTCCTCATGACCTCCTCAGACCTCCTCATGACCTCCTCATGACCACCTCATGACCTCCTCAGACCTCCTCATGACCTCCTCATGACCACCTCATGACCTCCTTGGACCTCCTCATGACCTCCTCATGACCTCCTCAGACCTCCTCATGACCTCCTCATGACCTCCTCATGACCACCTCATGACCACCTCATGACCACCTCATGACCACCTCATGACCTCCGCATGACCTCCTCATTGTAAGGTCTGCTCCTGGATAGCTAGCAGACTCCACCCTCCTGGCAGCAAAGTCTCCACCCAGTACCTGTGTTACCTAGGCAACCGGGACACCTGGAAGAGGTCACATCTGCATCCAATGAGGTCACATCTGAATTTGATGTGGCCACATCTTTCTCTGCCCTTACCCTAGATAAGGCCCAGCCCAGGCCCAGACGCCCTCTCTCTGCTCTTTTTTTTTTTTTTGG